AAAAGTTAAAAAAAGTCAGAATTAATATTACTGATGCACAGCTAGGCAATATTTTGTTCTTGTCCTTCTGTTTAAGGCTTGGGGTCACACACTGTATATTACAAACTACTCAAACATAGACCTTGCTTTGGAAACAGAATTACCAATTACCTTATGGGATTTTCTATGACACTTACCACTATGAATGCTTTCCAAACAAAATTATATTAACAAAACTCTTATGAGGTTATATTATCCCCATTTTAAAGATATAAAAAGCTGAGATACAGAAAGATTAAGGCCAAATTTTGGTGCCCAATTTGCATTGGATAGAAACTGATTTTTCAGAATACTTAGATTTGTTTAGCATTTCATAAATATAAGCATAGCTTGCATTCACTTGAGTTGCAGTTGTGAGAACACTGAACTTCTGTAAATTGGACCCCAGGGTATTAAGGTAAGTATAAAAAAATGGGGAATGCACAATTAGTTTGGTTGAAGGGATTTGCTCAGCATCACATAGGACCTTGGTAAGAGAAGCAGGGATAGAATCGAACTCTCCAGGGTAGTGCCCAGAAACCTTTAACTCGGGCATCTCCTTTTCTCCTCTTGCAATTCACTGTTTTTATTTGCTTTAATCCGCTGTAAAAAATGAAGCAGGCATCCAGTAGACAACAGTTTTCTTGATTATACAGTTCTTCATTGCACATTCTTAGAGCAGTCTATTTTGCATACTGAAGGAGGCAGCATCTTTGAGAAGAAATAGCATATGGTCATATGAATTTAAGGCTCTAGCATACACACAGTGGCCACACCCACATGTGTGTGGATGTTTGGTTCCCCAGGGTCCCCTACCCCAGATGCGGTAGGGGAGTCCAGGGACAGCACTGAGATGGCCCCAGCAACTTTTCCTGGGGTACTGGAGGCATCCCAGGGCTACAGCAGTGGTGATCCTGTCGCGTGGAGTCTGGCCGGTAGCTGGAGCATGGGTCTGAGTGGCCTGGCTCCAGTTTTGAGCGGGGCATGCTGCCCCCTCATGTTCTGCTCTGCTTTTTTTTCTGCATGTTTTTTTGACCCCTGGATTCAGGGGTCAACCCCTCCCCACGCTGCTCCCTTGCAGCACAGAGAACAACTGAGTGTGCAGTGTGTAGCACTGCAGACGTATCTGCAGCACCGCATACCACACGGCCATGCTTGTCTGGACGTGGCCAGTGAGGCTGAATTAAGATTGCACAGTGAAGGTTAATTCTGCTATTTTCTAACTTTTAGTGCTTACCTTGCAACTTCAATAATGTTTATTTAACACAAGTTTCCTGTAATTTCCTTGCTTTAAAAAAATCAAATAGATAAAGCAGAAGTTCCATCATGAGTTGTCATATTGGTACCCACCAGGTGATCAGCAGCACCAGAACCTTTATAAATGTTGTTACAAACTAACAGAATAACTGATAGCAACAGTTGGTTGACATCCTCTATGTGGGCCAGAGATAGAGGGAAATGAGAGAGACATTTTGGTAGTGGATTTCATAGTTATATGTGGACAGCAGAGCAAGGGTGAGCATTGGAAACAATGTATTCTATTCCAGGTTCTTGAGGACAATGTTATCTAATGGGAACAGACTCTTCAATCTGTTTCTCCCTTTTCTTTCCTTTCCTTTTCAACCTATACCTGCTTCAGTCTGGTCTCTTCTCTATCTCTGCCTCCTTGTCCCAATCCTCTTCCCCTTATCTCCCAGTCTCTTTGTCCAGCCAGTTATAGTCTTTTTCTTCAAGATCATTGTCAAAGTTACAAGCTACAACTGTATTTTTTAGACTCTTCCTCTTCCTCCCCCAAATCCCAAGTTCCCACACAAAGCATAATTTGACAGTTTGTCAGTTCTTTACTATCTCCCAATCTCAGTTTCCCTCCCACATTCCTTCCCTAGCTCATTGTCCTTTTCTTTGTCCAGCCAGTCCCAATTCTCCCCACAATATTGCTGTTCCTCTATTTCTTCTTCTCTGCTTCCTAATCTCTGCATTCTTGTCTAGCCAATTCCAGTTCCCCCAGCCAATTAGTTCCTAACATTCCCCATTTCTCTTATCAGCTCCTAGTTCATACCTTCCCTCCAAGTGCAAAGTCCTGTACTTAGGACTGATGAATCCCCTGCACTGCTATAGGCTTGGGACCAACTGGCTAAGCAGCAGCTCTGCAGTAAAAGACCCGAGGGTTACAGTGGATAATAAGCTGAATATGAGTCACTAGTGTGCCCCTGTTGCCAAGAAGGCTAACAATACACTGGGCTGCATTAGTAGGAGTGTTGCCAGCAAATCGAGGGAAGTAATTTTTCCCCTCTATTCTGCACTGGTGAAACTACATATGGAGTACTGTGTCCAGTTTTAGGCCCCCCCACTACAGAAAGGCTGTGGGCAAGTTGGAGACAGTCCAGCAGAAAGCAACAAAAATAGTTAGGAGGCTGGGGCACTTGACTTCTGAGGAGAGGGACCCTGGGTGTATTTAGTCTGGAGAAGAGAAAACGGAGGGGGATTTAAAGCAGCATTCAGCTACCTGAAGGGTGGTTCCAAAGAGGATGGAACTAGACTGTTCTCAGTGGTGGCAGATGACAGAACAAGGAGCAATGGTCTTAAGTCACAGCAAGAGAAGTTTAGGTTGGATATTAGGAAAAACATTCTCAAGAAGAGGATGATGAAGCACTGGAACAGGCTACCTACAGAGGTGGTGGGATCTCCATTCTTGGAGGTTTTTAAAGCCCTCTTGACAAAGCCCTGGCTGGAATGATCTAGTTGGTGATGGTCCTGCTTTGATCAAAGGGGTTGGACTAGAAGACCTCCTGAGGTCCCTTCCACCGCTAATTTTCTATGGTTCTATGTCTACCAATCCCAAATCTCTTGCTGAAACAATCCCAGTCCTCTCTCCCAATCCACGCCACAGTCCATGCCTCCCTACTATGTCTGTCCCAGCTTCCTGTGTCTGCCTCTTTTTGATGGCTTCCTCCTCCACACTGACTTCATGCACGTTGCTCGGTGGTAAACTGAGAACACAAGCTCCCTGCTCTAAGTTCTAATGTCTGTACTGACTTCTCTGGAGCAGCAGGGAGTCTCATTTAGAAATGCTTTCTGAACTCCAGCAGCCTCAAGTTGGAGTGCTCAGGAGGGCTGCGGCATGATCATATCTTGGAATCATGAAGTTCAGACATGCTCTTCAGTTAAGATAAATCTATACTGAAAATGGCTGAACTATATATTTTTTTTTCAATGGGTATAACAAAAGGCTCATCCCTGACCCATGGTCCACTTACTACAAAATTTCAAATCCATTTCCAAAGAACTTTTCAAAGAACAGGTTTCCAGGCCCTTCATCTCTGTTTTAAGAAGGACAATATCTAGTTAATGTCCCACTTAGAAATAGGTGAACTGTGTTGGCTGAAACTTTCAGGAAGGAAGGGAGGTCAGCTTGAAGCAACTGCTGATCTGGGAAACTTTCAGCACAAATGGTTAAATTATAGAAAAGATGCAAACACCTGAAAACAAGATTTTATGATGAGAAATATTGGGCACATTTAAAAATAGCTCAGGCTGCAAGCGCTGTTTATTATAGATATCTATAAAGGATAATTTAATAAAGAAATTGCTCTTCTGGGAAGTAAGAGACCTGTTTTGAATTCCTGTTTTACCCAGAAATTCCTTTGTGACTTTGGACGAATCAGGTAATCTACTATATGTTTTAGTTAGTTCTGCATTTGTGACATGGAAGAAATCTCTTTCTCACGGAGGTTTTATGAGGATAAGATATATTAATGACTTAAGGTGCTTCCATATTATGGTTATAAAGGTCACATATGGACACACAGAGTATGTCATTTATATGTATAGCATAATATATAATATGTTATATATAATCATAAATAATGTAATATATTATTTTACAGATTAGGCAGTCTCCTTTGATTTTAAGAATGCCTTTTCAGTGTGAGGTGACAAGAAAATACAACTATGTCTAAAGACAACTATAAAGAAGATACATGTATTCTTCTAATAACAGCTGCTGACAAAAAACACAAAAAACTGCACTTTACTGGAAGAAGCAGCATGTTATTTTGACGCAGCTCTTCAGCATCTTTATAGATTGGGTGCTTCAGCAGGGCTTTTTGGTGCTTTTATATAATAGCTAATTCAATCAGCTATTAGATAAAAGCACTAAAAACACCCCACTAAAGTGCCTGATTTATACAGATGTTGAGTGAGCTGGGTCCACCTAACACGATGCTTCTTCTGGGCATGCTCTAGGCTCAGGAGTCTGCTGGGAGTGCGCAAGTTTAAAATAAAGCACTGTTGTTTGGTGCTTTTTTCCCCAAGTCTGCAAGTAGCCTAGATGTCTGTTGTGGATTGGATCCATTATCCCACATATCTAAATGGAATTGTTGGATGCCATTATCCCACAGATAAACTTACAAACTTCTTGTAAATGAATGTGCAGAACAGAGCTTGGAAACTCTGGCAGCATTGCTGAGAAATAATACAGAATATTTTTTTTAATACTGTATATTCTTTTTGAGACTACGTTAACCTTTAAAGAGATGACAAAATGCATTAGTAAAATGATATCTACAAGTACAAGTAATTGTGCCTATTTTCTACCTAGCATTTAGTCACTATATCAATATTTAGTGATTGTAGAGGATAAACATCCTTATTGTTGTGACAGAGTTTTTTGGGTAAACATGAGATCTTTTATTAGACCAACTAAATAGTTGGAAAATATGTTCTTTGCAAGCATTTGAGTACAAACACCCTTCTTTGGGCATAGGGAGAGTTTGTTATTGATTTGTGTACTCTCCTGTGTGGAATAAAGCCAGTATGCAAAATGCAGGTCTGGGGTTATCAGATGGCAGGCAGGTTATAATGTGCCATAAATCCAATGTCTATATTTTATTCATGACTTTTTATATTATTATTGTGCGATTTTTTTCATTTTTTTTCATAGAATTTAAATTTAATTCATTCAGTCATTTGTGTTGTTGCAGAGGATCTTGATGATTTAAGAATGGAAGGAGTAACCAGTTTGATGTCTTCTGGGAGCAAATTTAACCAAACTCGAAGTGCACATCCTGTTGAACCTCAGGCAAAGGTCACACTGAACATCTGCGCAAGGTGTGCCAGGTAAGCAAAGCAGACAATACTAACAAGCAGATTCTTAGTCCATTTTCTTAAGTTGACTGTCATGATTACCTATGATCCAGGCAATAAGTTCTCTTTTTTTTAAGGAAAATTTTTTTGCTTCTAACTATCCTTGGTTATAAAGGGCCAGTTGAGTTGTAGAACCTACACTTATGCATGCTGCTGCTCATATCAACAATGAATCAAGGAGTGCAGGTAATCTTCACCCTTACTTCACAGCTTGAAACTATTTTATGCCCTTCTCTCTATTACTTGGGCTTCTGTGGCTTTTCAAAGGATGATTTAGAAACTTTGGAGTTTCAAAACCCATTTGAAGAGCATTGGTATAAATAAAAAAATAGTTGCACAGGTGCAGTTCAAGAATTTAATCAGTTTGAACCCCATTTGCTTTTGGCAGCTGAAAGTAATTTTTGCGCTTACAGTATGAGGGCCAAACAACCAGCTTGATATTCCTGAAGCCAAGTCAATTAATAATGTAACACTAGCTGAAACTCTTTAAATTTCTTAGATTCAGTCTTTCTGTATGGACAAAAGCTCATTTGGAAAAAGGAGTTAATCCTGCTTCAATGACAAAGCTAGCCTTCTCACCCTTATGTAAATGGCGCAGATTAAGAAGAATAATGCAGAGGTCTGCCAATTTTATCTCCTTGCCTTTGCCCTTTACTGCTCCATTGTCTTGTCTGAGAGGGGATTAGTAACCTGTAAATAGAAGTAACCTGTGGTGATCTCAAGTCAAAAGTTTGAGCATGTGCCATCCTACTTTTTTTTTATTTTTTTTTATTTTAAGGTTACCACATTTTAAAAGACCACTTGTTTAGGGAGGTTGTCTTCAAAGGCTAGGGACAGACATTCAAAAAGCATGAGCCTGAATTGATTCAATCTTTTCAGGTTACTTTAACCTGGCTAGGCTGCATCAGTTTGTAACCAAAAACACATCCCATCTGGACTGCAGAAATGCTGGCACATGCCTGCAGTAGCTCAGGGTAGAAGCTGGGGGGTGCTAGAGCAGCCTTCCCTATTCAGAGCACCTGTCAAAGTAAGTTGTTGTCTAATGAAAGCTCACACCTTAAAAAGTTAGTCTCTAAGGTGCCATGCTGCCCTACCTTCTGCCTGATTTCAGACTAACACAGCTAAGTACTAGGGCTGTGCAAAGCTTCGACTTAATATTTGATTTGACAAGTATTCGACATATTTGACCTTGAAAAGTGAAAGTTGAGTTGAATAGCAGCTATTCAGATAGCTGTCGAATCAAATACCGGAAGTTGAATATTAACAGCGCGGGTTGAATATTTGACTTGCCTATACTGGATTCCCTGTGGGGGG